TTTTTTTAATTTGTTATTTTATTTATTTACATTTTGAATGTTTATCCCCCTTTCTGGTTCCGCGTATTCCGTACCCCCTACCCCCTGCTTCTATGAGTGAGCTACCTCACCCACAAACCCACTCCTGCCTCAGTGCCCTAGCATTCCCCTATGCTGGAGCACTGAGCCTTCACAGGACCAAGGGCCTCCCCTCCCATTGATTCCAGATAGGACAATCCTCTGCTACATATGCAGCTGGAACCATGTGTCCCTCCATGTGTACTCTTTGGTTGGTGATTTAGTCCCTGGTAGCTCTGGGGAATCCTGTTGGTTGATATTGTTGTTTTTCCTATGGGATTGCAAACCCCTTCATCCCTTTCAATCCTTCCCCTAACTTCTCCATTGAGGTACCCATGCTCAGTCCGATGGTTGACCGTGAACATCCATATCTGTATTGGTCAGACCCTGTCAGAGCCTCTCAGAGGACAGCCATACCAGCCTCTTGTCAGCAAGTGCTTCTTGGCATCAGCAACAGTGTCTGGGTTTGGTGTCTGTACATGGGATGGATCCCTAGGTGGGGAAGTCTCTGGATAGCCTTTCCTTCAGTCTCTGCTCCATTCTTTGTCCCTGCATTTCCTTTAGACAGGAACACTTCAGAATGACTAAGATCAAAAACCAAAGTGATAGCAGATACTGGAGAGAATGTGGAGTAAAAGGAACATTCCTCCATTGCTGGTGGAATTGCAAGCTGGTACAACCACTCTGGAAATTAGTCTGGTGGTTCCCCAGAAAATTGGACATGGTACTACCTGAGGGCCCAGCTATACCACTCCTGGACATATACCCAAAAAATTCTCCAACATATAACAAGGGCATATGCTCCAGTATGTTCATAGTATCTTATTTATAATATCCAGAAGCTGGAAAGAATACAGATGTCCTTCAACAAAGGAATGGATACAAAAAATGTGGTACATTTACACAATGGAATACTACTCAGCTATTAAAAACAATGACTACCTGAAACTCTCAGGCAAATGGATGGAACTAGAAAATATCATCCTGAGTGAGGTAACCCAATCACAAAAGAATACACATGGTAGCACTCACTTATTAGTGAATATTAGCTAAAAAGCTCCGAATACCCAAGATACAATCCACAGACCATCTGAAGCTCAAGAAGGAAGACCAAAGTGTGAATATTTCAGCCCTACTTAGAAAGGAGAACTAAATACAGGAGGTAGAGGGAGGGAGGGACCTGGAAAGGAAAAGGAAGAGGAGGGAAAGGGGGGGCAGGATCAAGTGTGGGAAGGGACTGGGGAAAAGAACAGAGGTCAGGAAATTGAAGAGGTGTGTAGCAGTGGGAAATGGGGAACTGGGCATAGCCACTAGGAAGTCCTAGACACCAGCAAAGCAAAGGTTCTCAGGACCCAACATGGATGACATTAGCTGAAATACCCAACAAAGGGGATAGAGAACCTGTAGAGACCATATCCAGAGGTTAGGCAAGGCCCCTGGTTGAGGGATGGACCTCAACCACCCATCTGAAGTAGCTATTTATATTGAGCAAAATTAATAAGGGAACTAAAATTAACAACTAGTATATGCTTAGGTGGATACATGACAAAATGACACCTCTTCCATGTAATTTTTAAACATTTATTTTAATGAACATGAGAAATAAGATGTTATACTTGTAAAGAGCCAAAGTTTTGGCGCCACCTAGTGAAATGTTACTCAGATTTTTAAAACATATTTTAATTATTGAAAATTTCATACATGAACTGTACTGATTTTACATCAGTCTCCCCTCCATCTCCTCCCTCCAACTCCTCCCATGTGCCCACACACATTTATAAATACAACCCGCTAGTTCACTTAGTGCTGCTAATGTGTACATGTGTTTGGGACTGATCACCTACCACGGGGCTCATCCCTGGAAGAAACTAATTCTCCCTCTCTGAGTAGTCATGAATTGCCTGTAGCTCTTGATCTAAGGGGCTTTATGAGACTTCCCCTATCTACACTGGCATGTCAATTGGTGATGTCATTTCTCGGGTCTTGGTTAGGCAACCATATTGTTTAGATTTCATGGTACACTTTCTCTGTTATATATAGACGATATAATCATTGAACAGATGGCAAGTTCATAAAAGAAACACTATTAAACCTAAAATTACATATTAGACCCAAGACCATGGTTGTGAGTGACTTTAATATCTGACTCTCAAGATCAGACAAGTCATCCAGATAAAAACAAAATAGCCAAATGCTTGGGTTAAATTACACCATAACAGAACATTTCACCCACATATTAAGAATATACTTTCTCCTCAACAGCTCATGTAACTTTCTCCAAAAGTTACCACTATAGAAGATGGAATGAAAGGATTATAAGACCCAGAGGTTGGAGCAGAACAGAGCCAAACAGCATCCCCAAGACATGACAGTACCCTCATGGATTCACAATAACCAGGGTTGCCAGCCTTAAAACTATACAAGATCAAGCTAGTCAATAGTCTAAAATGGAGGGGAAAGAGGGCTTACAACCCCCATCCTGATTGAAGAGCTATTAATAACTGATTGCTTCTTAAGGAATAAGAATTGGTATCCTTTAAGGATGTGGTCCCCAGGTGGGTCAACTACACTCCAGTGAATGGCTTCAAAATTCCAGTATAGGGGCAACTTAACTCAGATTCGGGGCTTTGTTGTGTTTTGTTTTTTAGAGAGAGGGGACAAGAAGTTGAGAAGGAGTGAGGAGGTGGGGATTAATCTAGAAAGAGCTAGAAAGAAGAGTTGGAGGTAAGTATGATCAAAATATACTGTAGGAAATTTGCAACAAATTAATAAAAATATTATATTAAAATATAATATGTAAATCTTTGACAACCACTTCCTTGATACAATACAACTTCTAGTATCACCATTCACTGTGTTCAGGAGTTTTCCCATGTGCAGGAAACAACAGGGATGTACAATAGGATACTTATGAGATAATATTTTCCCACATATCTTATAATTACTGTAAAGGAAAGAGAATGCAAGAACAAATGAAAACTGGAGGTAAGAAAGAACTGTAAGTTAAAACAGTTTTCCTAAATGTGAACTGAAAGTTAAGACAGAAATACTTTTTTATTAAAAATGTATGCCTCCAAAATACTATTCATTTAAATGTATAAATATGTATAAATCAGTCTTTGAAAATATTATGAACATACTGATTAATGACAAAAGTTTAACTATTTATTAAATATATACAGAAAAAAACTGTTCAAGTTTAACATGTCTGAAATTTGCCTATAGTCTTTTCTTACTAAAGATCAAGTTATTAGTTCTAAAAAAAAAAAAAAAAAAAAGTATGCTCCTCTTTGATATACAACAACCTGAAGAAATCATGCTTTTATACCGTAGCTACCTCTCAAGGCCTTACCGTGTGCTAGGCACTGTGGTAAAGACTAAGAGCACCACACTGAACAGTGCATGGTCCAAAATTCAGGAATATTATCAAAGGAAAAACCCACAAATGTTAATATTCAAAAAAACAAAATCCATTCCAGTGCTATTGACTATAGTTCGTCAAGTTATTTTACCTATTTCACAAGGTTTTTTTTTTTTTCAAATCATTTTAGAACATAGTGATTTCAACAGCATGGTAAGTAATGTGATAATATAGGCAATCTTATTTTAACCTTAAAATCATTGAATATAAACTTTTCTCCTTTAAGAAAATGTAACATTATAAAAAGAGGATTTTTAATGCAATAGTAACTTTTCTAAATACCAAAAGTTTGCCACTAAACATCATCCTGAGGACTAGGTTTGAGGTGAAATGAGAATTAGTCTAACGTGATGGTGCCTTGGATTCTATCTTCAATTCAGTCAGAGAAATAATTTTGACCATAATTTATTTGTATTTTAATGACAAAAATATTATGTGTATGTATAAATAAGTTCTGTTGATAAATAAAACTTTAACAGAAACCAAAAGCTTTATCCACCCTTTTTCTGTATACACTATTTTTTTCTGAATGTATACAATAATATAAAATTACTTAATATAGCCATAAGAACCTACTAGGTAACATGAATACTTTTTATCTGTTTTTTAATTATAATTGTTATTTTATTAAAACAAATGCATTATGTTTGTGGTTATATATCTTTTTCTAACATTATATTATGTCTTATCTTGTGTAAATGTTTCATGGTTGGTTAACATCTAAGCCAAGGGAATCTTGAGGAGGAAAAAATCTTACTGAACTAGTTGCTAGACTTTCTAATGGAGAGTCAGCTATCCTTACTCTAAATGTACCCTTTTTAAATTTTCACATTACAATCTTTACCTCTTAAGTTAAAACATACAGAAAAAAATAAGTTTTATTTGCCTACAATTTTCAAATGGGAAAATTTTTCAATATACATCTAAAAGTGAAATATGCATCTAAATGAGTTCTATGTGAATATATACACAATTTAGGACAAAAAAAAAGATGAGGATCTTGCTTTTACAATTAAAAATACATGGAGTGCTAGGCTTACTTTATTTTAAAAAGGAGAAAGAACAAAATTCACAAATTAAGACGCCCTTAAGACATCAAAAGAACGTAAGTGAATTTAACACTGCAGGACTTTCAAAGATACCTTGGTCATAGCCTTACTAGAGAAAGGGAGATATGTAAGAAACCACGGTAAGGGAAGGAGAGGGGTATGGAAGGAATAACACTAGAGTTATTCCGTATCACTATTCCTAATAATGCTAGTGTTGTTATTCCTATTATTATCCCTAAGGGAAAACTTAGGTCAATTTAAAGACATTTGAAGAGAAGAATTGTCTAATACTGGAATTTTAAAAAGCAGAAATACTGAATTCCATATGACAATGAGTCCAAGCAGAAACAGTGACCACTGCGCTGTACAGCTAACATGTACTGTAGCTACTTGTACAATGCCCATTGAGCGACGCAGCCATCAAGCACAGCGGACATACACAGAAAATGGATGAAATACCCCTTTCAACGTACCTTTCTTTCCTCTTGCAATATTATTTCTTCATATAGCCGTGGGACATATGTACAATAATGCTCTTGATCTTTCTTGATGTTAATATTTTCATACTGTAGTTTCCTTTTCCTTTCAAAAATCCAGACAGAATTTGAGAGTTTTCAATATTAAATACACAAATATTTGTATAAGCAAAGATAATTTTTATAGCAACAGCTTTTGTTTTAGATAAATTTAATAAGATCAACAGGTTGGATCAATACATTCAAATTCTTATGAAAATACATTTCACGTTGTTGGTTTTGTTTTTTAAGATGGAGTACTGGGACTGCCAAGACGGTGCAGTGGGTCTATTGTACTTGATATCAAGCTGATAACCTGAGTTTAATCCCTAGAACTCACATGATAGAGGAAAGGGATCCCCACAAGCTTCCCTCTGACCTCAGCACGGATGTGCACACATATGCAGACACATATACAGACAAACACACAAGGAAGGAAGTTACAAGTCAGAGCACTGTTATAAAATTGCTCTAATAATTACTCCAAAAGGAAAATGGGCCATGATACTTACAGCATGAACTGACATCATCAAAGATATTTTTTTAAAAAAAGTTTTCTGATATTCTACTTACATATGTCTTTAAAATCCAAAAATCCTTTGGTATTTTAATTTCTGCTTAAAATAAGAAAAATAGCCCTTTCTGTTTATATCATAAAGCAGTAAGGCAAAGGGCGTAATGATCTCTAAGAATCAAGAGTGAATGAGTTTTCAGTGCTATTAGACAGTTTAAAGAAAAAGTAAAACAGTAGTGAACAGTCCGGAGTGCTAAAGCAGACAGACTGCCAGGAGTCACACGTATTAGCTTTATGACCTAATATAAAAACCACCCAGCCTCTCTTAGCTATTCTTCACCTGTACTTGGACATATTAGTAATTAGTTCTCTAGAACACAATGAAAAGAGAAAAAACAGATGTAGGGTATTAAGTGCCATTCACAGCCCTGTAAACCCACTATAACTTATAGCATTAATCATTGCTAGAATTATATTTAAGTACACCACACTTGCTGGTTTTCCTATTCATTGAGCAGAACTGCAAAGACATACAATATTCAACATTTAAAAAACTATACTAACTACACAAAGATTAGAATAACAAGGGTAACAGAAAGCCAGAACTTTGGGTTATGTAACAGTTGCTGTAGTTCCAGTATTCTGTGCTCTGATTCAGTGTGCGTCCACCATTCTGGGTCACTTTTCCACTAATTCTATTTGTACAGAATCTTACAAACAAGCTTGGTCTTCATAACTTCAAATGAGTTTGCAGCCATGAAATAAATGTACATTTATGATACTAGAATTGTTATGTGATACTTACGTCCACTTCTTTCCCAAACAGTATAAATATATCTCCCTTTTCAGAGTGTCTAACCACCTCTCTGTTACGTGTGAAATCTCCCAGAAGAATTCTAACTCACAAACATCCAAAGCAGAAGGAAATATAAACTAGAAAATGTCCACTGCGGGATGAGAAGACAACTCCAAATAACATATTGCGCGACGCAGGCGACCTAGTCAGAGCAGAGAGCAAGAGCAGCTGCAGGGCTGAAGCAGCCATAACACAGTGCAGGACTGCACCTGCAGCTCAACGTGGAAAGAGTGAATGGAAAACGAGGGGAGCTGGGGGTAAAGCAAGGTTTTACAAATAGCACGGAGATGGGGGAGACGCTGGAAGTGAGTCGACATTAGAAGAAACAAAATGGATGAGAACTGGCAAGCCAATCAAGAATGAGCAGTGCTCACAGTCCTGCCTGCTCCTCTTGCTAGTTAAGCTGAAGTAAGTAGGGAGCACAGCAAACCAGCACACTGGAAGAAGGGAGTTTACGTGTCCAATGGCCGTGAGGACAGCCCCAAGGAAATAAAATGAACCACAAAACAAAATCAACGTTATTACTCGGGAAAGGGACCGGGAGTGATGAAGGGGCATTGGTAGAGGTAAGAAGGAGATGAAAAGTTCTGGGTAAGAGCTATCAGAATATACCATACACATGTTCAAAATTGTCAAGTAACAAAATTAATAAATAGCTTTCAGAACAGATGAACATAAACTATTTACTCTTTTAAATGCTCAACGAGAAAAGAACATGCCAAAAGGAGGAAGATGAAGGTTTGAAGAGTCTATAGTGCTTATCCTGTTAAGAAGAATGGTAAGTATGGACTAACACAATTAAAAAATGATAAGATACAAAGTTATAGCTTTCAAGATTAGGAGAGTAAAGCAATAAGAACAATAACCTAGGTATAAGTTCTTCAAAAGTAAAAATGCCATGCTCAATTCTTACTCTGTTACTAAGTTCAATACTAGCCATAGACAGGATTCAGAATTTGTTCAGTGAATGAGCTACAGTCGGGAGTCTGAGCTTCCAACTATGCATACTGCTACCATCAGGCGTGTCTGTGCCCGGTACAGAGTAAAGAATCACTGGACACTTTCCCGAAGGAAGAAAACTAATGCTGTGATGAATGAGCCAGCAGAGAAGCTAGTGTCCACTCAACCAGGAAGAGCAAACCATGTTTCAGTAAAAGCATTCACTACAGGACCAGAGTGGACAGAGAACTCACATTCTCTCGGAACTGAACAACGTTCTGCTCTGACTTACATGGGATGAGGGGAGGTTCATACATACACAATTAAGTAAAACAACAAAACAGTCAAAGCTAACCATATGATCATTAGCAGATGTACCCCTGCAGCTCTCCCCTGGGTCAGAGTCAAGTAGCCTTGTTGTGCTGAGTCTAACCACAGCCCCTAATTTATGTTCCTAACTGGTCCATGTTCTTTGTCATGTGTGCTGTTGATCTAAACCACAAGATGTAAAACTTCCTACCAACCCCTGGAAGGGTTTAAAGGACGGGTATTTTCTTTGTTCTAGTGGTTCCTCTGAAGACCTCTGGCTATCCTGTACCAGCCCATCTATGGCAGCTATCTCTTTAACTCCGACTGTAAGCTACCCCTTCTAATGAAGCTCTTTCAGATTTTAAAAGAAAGCATCTCTTTTTCTTGAATGCCCTGTTAACAATGGATTTAACATAATGTACTATGATCTTCCAAGTGCTTCCTCATCTCAGGCCTGATCTCAGCCCCATACCCCTTACTCCTAACAAAGCTAATTCTGGGTGATAATTATGTGTTAGCTCTTTTTCCAAACCAATAATTACCATTCTTATACCTAAAATGACCCACCATCTTTAATATACTCTAGAATCTTTCATCTATTTTTCAATTAAGCATAGCATACCTTAGTGATGAGGTACATGGGTTCTGTACTCAAACAAGTCCCAGTAAAAGTCTAGTTTGGGCATTTAAAAGGTCACATGATCTTAAATATGTTATTTATCTTCTCTGATTCTTGAATGTTTCACTAATAAGATAGGTAAATAATAGTCATTACAAAAAGACTTGTGAAGACTAAATGAAGGAATAGAGATACAGCAAGAGACAGAATCTGACTCATGAGAAGCATTAAGTTCCAAAATATAATACTAGTTTTTCATACTAACTTTCCTTTCTTAACAGGATAGCCTTGTCTGAACCAGTGCAATACTCTATTAATGGTGCTTGAGAAGCCTTTTCCACCCACTCTGTCCCAAGGTTTCACGGGGTAATCCTGGAGGACCTAAGAACCATTATGTAGACCAGGCTGGTTTTGAACTTGCAGCAATCCTTCTGCTTCCCAAGTGCAGGAAATATAGTGTGTATCACCGGTCCCAGTTGGGGTTTGCCTTTACTTACTGGACGATATCATACTGTCCAGGACCAGGACCTGAATATTTGACCAATTCTTGTCTTCCTGTAGTATTGCCAAAATTTACACCTTTATATTTCAAACTTGCTTTAGGATAATCCTAAAAAGAAAGAAGAATAAGAAAAAGGACATGAGGCAAATTGGAAAACATTACATTTGACTGAGGCCTAAACGCAAGAATCCTAAGTCAACAAAGTTGCACCAGTAAAATCAGGGAGGGCTCTTTAAGCTGGATTCTGCCAATCCTTCTCCCACCTCAGCCAGGGTTCTCAGAGAATTGCCTTTTATGTTAGTCTATACTGAGCCAATGGGAGCAGTTTCCTCTTGGTACGACACTAGTAGTATAGTAATTTAATGCCTCTAGGGCAATAAAGAACACTTCCACCTAGAAACAGGCTAAATGTATTATCTGCAAAAAAGAAAAAACTATTTAAAAGATATTAATTAAACAAACTGAAATAATGCCAACAATACCAACAGATCTCAGGCAATAATTCCATGATATTTAAAAACATATTCATAGAAACTTTTCTAAGAGCAACAAGTGGTTAAAAACAAATTAAATACTATCCAGCTCATGCTGTTGCTAATCTATGAAGAAGGAGTAAGGATCATTATAGACTTAGTATACCCAAGACAAAGTTCTCAGCACAAAGGAGATTTATTTGACCTACAGGGACAGAGGGCAGGGAATAAGAGACAAAAACAGGAGATAGAGAATGAGAGAGAAGAGGAAGGAAACAAGAGGGAGAAGGTAGGGGCACTTGTCCCAGAAGAGAGAGGGACAAAGGACTGGCTCTGGATAGAGAGGGGACAGATGTGGCAGATGGGAAAATGGTTGTTTATAAAGATCCGAAGGAAACCCCTGCCCCTGCATTGGGATGAGGTGTTTAGTTCTAACTGGACATGTTAATTAGGTGAGCCACAGAGGGCTTTGGATTGCTCGACTTCAGTACTTTGATAGCTGGACCTTGGTAGTCAGCCCCAGGAAGAGGAAGTGACCAAATAAAGGAACAGACCTTGGTGGCTAGATTTAGGAATGGAATCCAGTGGTTTTTAACAGCATAGAGGGAGTGGAGAAGGGCAAGGCCAGCCAGAGCCATATTTGCCATGCCCAGGCTGGCTAGAGTCCCTTCAGAAGAGATCAGTCTTTTAATACTAAAGAAATTATTTATGTCAGGAAAAAAGTAAACCAATGTTTTTCCTCTAACATTGATAAGAATGTCAAACTTAAGCATGAACCACAAAGATTTAAAGCACTGGGTTCATCAGCAACTAAAAAAAGAAACTATATATAAGAAACGCAGTATATCTCTTCTCTTGTGATACATTTCCCTTTATAAAATCATTTAAGAGGCCTGGAGAGATGGCTCCGTGGATGGGTGGACTTGCTGCTCCTGCAGAAGACCTGGGATCACTTCCCACAGAGCAGCTCATCATCTGTAACTTCAGTTCCTGGGCTTCCAATGCCCTCTTCTGGCTTCTGTGAGCACTGCTCTTATGAGGTACACATACATGCAAGCAGGCAAAATAATATTGAATTCCATGCATTGGTCTGCCGCCCCATCTTTCTGCATGTCCTCAAGCCCTGTTTGATTCCGGTGCAGCAGAACCACCTGGCAAATACCTGGCCTAAGTGAGCCTCTTCCTTAGGGTAGCCTTGAGCCTACACCAACATCCTGCTACCCACCATACCCTGGTATGGAGAACTAACCCTCCTCATACGAATTCATTCTTTACTATCCCCTGAACATCTGCTCATGGGGGTATGCTTCCAAAGGGGACTTTCAAGGTCATTATGTCAGCTCTGAGCCTGACTGTGACCAAAATCAGTTAGAAGCACTTCCCCTCCCCTTCCCCATCCCCCCATCGTAGTGAATAAACTTGCTTTTGGTTTATTTCTGAGTTCCATGATCCTTTCCTCATTATTTGCACACCCCGTGAACCCCGACAAATATATAAAATAGCAAATTTCTATTTAAGATATTTATAAAGAAATAAATAGAAAACAAATCACTGAAAATATTTTAGCAAACCTGTTTTAACTAAGGTTAGAAGATAAACTCTAGACTACTTATTGCTAGATCATCAGAAAAGCTAACTTTGTAGGATATGCAGGGGTTCATTATGTGTATATGGTGTTTTGCCTGCACACATGTCTGTATACCATATCTACGAAGCCAGAAAGAACACTGGATCTCCTCGAGCTAGAACTAGAGTTGCAGATGATTGAGAGCTGTTATGTTGTTATTGGGAATTAAACATGTGTACCCTCGAAGAACAACCAATGCTCTTAAACACTGATCCACTTCTCCAGTCCCTAAAATTTTTAAATACTCTTTAATCACTATAAAATAAATTTAACTACATAAAACAGTGTATCAAGTATTCTAGGTAACCTTCTATCTAAACACAATGTAATAAATTCTCATTACAAACAACATTAGTGCCACAGTAAGTGTTAGTACCATAAAGCATAATTTCAGTTCAAACTCTATCTATTGTGCTTTATGCAGACTCCAAGAGTTGTATAAAACAGACACAGGCCAGACATTTTAAGACATTTCCGGAACAGGCATCCACTGCATGTGAAAAGACCTGCAGCTGAATTCTGTTAACATTTCAGAAAGACAGAAGCTGGAGATGATGGCGTATCGACGGTAATGAATAGTTAGTGATTTCCAGTGAGAGAGGCAACATTCAAAAGCTTTGGGGTGCTATAACAAAATCCAGAAAGAAGCCTCTGCATCTGGACACAAGAGCTGAGTGTGGGAAAATGGAGTCACCAGCTGTGGTGTGGCAGTTTCCTCTGAGATTAAAACCTTTCATCTTGGAGAAACCTATGTTCAGACACAGTATGCTAAAGGAGATAAAACAGCAGGAGGAAACTTGTAAAAACACAGGACTTGAAGAGGCAAGAAAACCACAGGATGGCCTAGCATCCCATTCTGCAGGGAAGCTCATTAAACTCAAGAAGTAAACAACTCAATAGCTTTGGGAAGTGACTGAAACTGAACAGACTCACTGGGTCCCTCCTTCCTCAGGTGAGCATCAGCAGAAAAGGGTGGCTGAAAAACGCTCACAGACAAGCTGTGCTGCCTAGAAAAGACAGGGGTGAGACAAACCACTTAGAAGAAACAGGGGTGTAGAGCTGACTGGCAGTACTCAGACACCAGCAGAGCCTCCCAGAAGAGGTTGTCAACTGAGCTGCCTAAGACACTCTCCAACCTGGTAAACTGCCTACAGACTTGCAATACACTCCGAGTTTCCAGGTGAGCTGTCAACCATGTGGAGTTGAGCTTTTGGTGCTGCAACTGTCTTTGAACTGTGTTTTTACTCCTGTGAGTAACTATATTAGTCCACCATGTTAGACTTTAGTGGTATCAAAAAGATTGAGTTAGGTTTGGGGATGTTTCCCATTTAAAGGGGCAAACCACTTGAAAGGTGGACATGAAAACTAACTCTGGGCATCAGCTGATCATGATGATCCAGTGACCAAGAAAATCTTAAAAATCAAAGTGATAGCAATGCCAAGTACTATTTTCTGTTGACTGGATTTGCATTCTTTGGTGTATTCATGCCTATATCTTTCAGCAGAAAAAAAAAATCTTGTTTTATTATCAAGGTGGAACTGGCCTGAAAGCCTATTCCCTGGGGACTAGCTCTCATAGTATCAGAATGTGCTGTGCATGCAGCCAATGGAGAAAAGTCTTTCAAGCCCTAATGCCTAAGACAAAACCACAGCAATGGCCAGCCCAGAAAGGTATCTCCAATAGTGCAACAGTGCACTTTTGTCATGGGAGTGGCCAACATCTTTCTAATGGCCCTTAAGGCCCAATCAATAGGAGAGAATTATTCCATACCTGGTACTGTACCTAGTCCACTAGCTACCTTTGGCTGAAGAAGTCACAGACATTAGAAGAGGCCTTTCTAGTGCCATTTTCTAAAACCATAATCATCATCATCATTGTCGTCATCATCATCATCATCGTCACTAACTATATTACAAATGCTTTCCCTTATGCACAGAAAGAAGTATAGCTCTTACCCCTTATCAAAATGTTGTTTCAAAGCAAATGGGAAGAATACAGAGATCCTCAACTGTACAAGCAGAGAATAAATGATTGTGGAGAGTATGGCCCCACAGATACATTTATAACACACCCCTATAGCTAAGGCTCAAGGAAAATCCAGGAAGAGGGGGTGGAAAGATGGTAAGAGTCAGGAATCAGAATCCCTGCTACCAAACTGCCTTCTAGACATGACAAGGAAATCTGAACAATATAGCTACCCACACAAGATCTGCATAATGACAACACGAGCTGACACGCCACTGTGAACAAGGGAAGTTCACGAGGTCCCACCTCTAGATGAAGAGCTACAGGCAATCAAAGCCTGCTGAGAGATTCGGAACCTGTTTTCTCCAGGGACAAGCGTCCTGATAGCTATCCAATCCCTAGCAATCTAAATATGCTTAGTCGTGAGCAACACTAAACGGATTCAGAAGGAAGGGTGGTGTGTGTGTGTGTGTGTGTGTGTGTGTGTGTGTGTGTGTGTGTGTAACAAAGAACATGTCGTGAATTTGAGAGGGGAATTAGTGGAACAGATATGAAAGAAATTAGAAGACGGAGAGAAATTAGAATAAAAAAAAAGAACTTCTAACACTGACGAAAAAATGTCCAAACTTGGTGGGGCACGCCTTTAATCCCAGCATTCAGGAGCGAGAGGTAAGTGAATCTTTATGAGTTAAACATCAACTAAGACTACATGAAGAGTTCCAGGCCAGCCAGAACAACATACTAAGACCCTGTCTTAAAATAAGGAAGCATTGATTTAAAAACAAATCGGTGTTATTTTAGAGTCCCTTCTAATAAAGCATAATAGAAAAAAAAGAGTATTGGTATTGTTTTAGCTGTGATATAGATCACACTGGTCAGCAGAGCCCCAAGTCCTTTGGCAAGGACTACAGGGCCTGCTGGAGCAGCAACTGTAGTCAGTGCAAACAGGCTCATTCAGGAAGCACATAAGAGAGCCCCAAAGACTTCAAGAAATACCTGGGAAAGGGAATTTAACAGAAGTCTTGGGATTGTCTATCAAGAT